AAGGCCAAGGAAGTGCAAAACCCCATCTTCCCAGGTGGGAAGACGCACACTTCCTCAAGGGGGAGGAAGAAGGTGGCGGTGTGCAACACAATCTACAGCATCTGGACTGAGATAATTCCAAACTGTGATGCCCAGAGAGCAGGGCTGTGGACAAACACAAATGAGCGTTTTCTTCCTGTGTTCCAGTAAAAAAATTCTGACTGCCATCACAAAAAAACATACAAAAATGAAAATGCAATACTGAGGCGAGAAATGGTTTTCTACGGATAAACAAACAAAAAATTCTTAATTTCTCTCGGGAAAAAAAAGGACATGTACCAGAGCCAAAAGCAACAAAATGCTCACTCGCTTGCTTTCAGTTTCCTATTTTCTGATACCTAAAACAAAAGATACACATTAAAATGGACCCCTCAACTATTCTTAGAAAAATTCTCTCTCCATTCTTCTAGACAGGTCATGAGCTGTATCTCTAGGGCAACTGGAAGTCACAGTGGTTTAACATAGGCTTTCTAACTGGAATGACTTTCCTACTTGACAAAATCTTGGCCAAATGGCTTCATCTGAATAGATGACAGCAGAGAACAAAGGGACATTTCCATCTAAAGCTCATCAGCCAGTGGGATACACAAGAAGCTATTTGAGTCACTTTAATATTTTGTCAACAAAAAATACTTTCATTTAAACTGAGGTCCTCAGAGTTGATTCACATTAAGAGATGGACAGCAAAACTTTATAAATGCTTTATACGTGTATGTTTATTACTAGCAATGGCCCCAAACAGGGGTATTATAGAAAAATCAATAAAACAGAAACAATACTGTTGTACACCTGAAACTAATATACTGTAAATCAATGATACTTCAATTTAAAACAAACAAACAAACAACATAGGACAGAACAGAAATGGCTGGAAATCAAGACTAGCAACACGATAAATGTTCTAAAAACACAAACACTGACATAGGGTTAAACTGTCAGCAAATCAGGAGTAGAAGGGAAGAGTCACTGATAAAGACATCTACAAAAACGCTACACACATTTACGTAGATGTGCGTGTCTACACGTGGGTTCACAGGTGAAAGAAAAGGAAAGGAGGAGACGCTGAAGCCCCAGGCCGCTGACAGCCACCCTGAAGGGGAGAACAGAAGCAATGGGAGCCCTCACACTCACCTGTCTACCTCAAGACTGTCTGACATTCTTATCAGGATGTATCTGGGCACCACTTATGTAATAAAACTGAGAAACAAGGAATTCTTAGGATGAGCCAGAGATAGCCTGTTGCACAGAAAAGAACGGAAATATTCCGAGACTCACCAGGCTGGGGCCACAGAACACAGGAATCTGTTTAAGGAGGTTCCACTGGCCAGATACAGAACAATTTGAGCGTTAAAACATTTAGATTGTATCGCATTCCACAGATTTGCAATGAAAGAGCAGAGACAAAAAGCTCGTTTGCTGCCACTGGACATAATCAAGACATGAACTCCTAATTCTGGACAACTGACACATTCAGCGTTTATTCTGTCGTTTCAGTAGCAAGCACATTTTAAGAAGACCAAAGAGCCCCTCTGGAAGGAGGAGGGAACGTGCTTTCTTACAGAAGGAAGTCTGATTTGATAAATGTAAAGCAAATAATGGAATCTGAAAAATCACTATTTTGTAACCTTGAATGAAATATTTCTTTTTGGCAAGGACTACCAGTGGAAGCTAAAACCATCAGGGGAAAGATTAAAAGGAAACTGGATATCTGTACAGTGTAAAAACACTGCACCACAAATCACTTGCTAACTGGAAAGTTTTTGTAATTAAAACAAAACACCACCACCTTATTTTTAAAATAAAAAGATCTGGTTATCACTACCTTTTATCCAGGGTTCAAGCTCAGTATCACTAACAGTAATAAAAACAGTCATACTGTGCCTGCTGTTTAATCTGAATCTGATTAATGTCTACATCTAACTTCTAGTTTGCAGAAAATACAGAAGCTAGAGGAACAAATTAAATGACCAAAGGAAAGAAAAACTAGACACCCCCAAATGAGACATTCCACAAGAAAACAGACTGATCTCTGTAACAAGTCAGTGTCAATGAACAAGAGAGGAAAACACAAGGCAGCCCCTCCCCCCACCGCAGGAGCCCTTTTCCCCCAGCTCCAGTGACCTCCAGAGGCTTTAAAGGGCCCCTGCCCTCTTCCTCCCTGTCCATCCCTTCATTTCTCCAAGTTCTGAAAGACAAAGAGAATCTTCAAAGCAGCAAAAGAGAAGTGACTTGTCACACATAAGGTACCCTCAGATAAGGCTATAAGCAGACTTCTCATCAGCTTCAGAGGCCAGAAGGCAGTAGGCTGATATACCTAACATGCTAAAAGGAAAAAAACTGTCAACCAAGCATCCTGTGTCAGGCAAAACTGTCCTTCCAAAGTGAGCGATAAATTAAGACAGTCCCAGAAGAAAGGTATACTGAAAACAAACAGCAAACTGACAGAAGTAAGGCCTTCCTCATCAGTAAGGCTTGGGAATTAACTTAACCAAACAGGTGCGAGACTTGCACAATTAAAACCGTAAGACGTTGCTGAAAGAAACTGGAGAAGACATAAGTAAGTGGAAACACATCCCATGTTGATAGATTGGAAGATTAACATTGTCAAGATGTTAATACATCCAAAGTGATCTACAAATTTAATGCAATCCCTGTCAAAATCCTAATGACTTTCTTTTTGTTGCATAAATAGAAAAACGCATTCTAAAATTCATATGGAACCTCAAGGGGCCCTGAATAGCTAAAACAATCTTTTTCAGCTGGAGGACTCACACTTTCTGGTTTCAAAGCTTACTCCATAGCTCTGGTGCTGGGACAAAGACAGACACCTTACGACCAATGGAGCAGAACGAAAGTTAATCCTTGTGTATGTGGTCAAATGAGTGTTTTTTCCTTTTTTTTTTTTTTTGGTGTGACTTTTTGGGGGGAGGGGTCATTAGGTTTATTTATTTATTCACTCTATTTTATTCACTTGTTAACGAAAGTGCTGTGGATTGAACACAGGATGTCGTGCATGCTAAGCACGTGCTCTACCACTAAGCTGTACCCTCCCCACCTTGGTCAAATGATTTTTGACAAGAGTGCCAAGACCATTCAATGGTCAATAGAAAAGTGGGCAGAAGATCAACTGGGAAGTTGTCAGAAAAACATTTAAAATGCACCATAAATATATAAGGCAGACACTGAACTTACTCAAAATTAAAGAAATGCAAATCAAAACAACGGAATACTCTGTCCAGCCAGGAAAAAAAAAAGTGTAACATTCCACGTGTTTGCGTGGGAGGGAAGACTGAGGCAGGAGAGACGTAACAAAAATGACAGGTATGGTGTTAAATTTCTCACTACAGTGTTGGTTTGGTTATCTTACTGTTCCACACAGAGCTTACAATAACGTAAAGACGGTAACAACGGGACGCTGTGGCAGCAGAAACGCAGATGAGGACAGATTATCATCCCGGAAAGTGCAGAGCGACCCACCGCGTCGCACCTTAACCACCAGAGTAGACAAGAAAGCAAGCAAAGCACCCGCCCTCTGCTGTCATCCCCTGCCTTACTCTAGGACCCCATCCTACCCTCTCCTAGTAAAGAGGCCTTACAAACTACTGCTACGAAGTTTCCTCCTGTGTAAAATGAGGATGAGTGAGTGCCTTTCCTTTCAGTTATTTTAGGGAGTAAATGAGATGTTCCCCATAGTACACGGCACAGAGGAAACATTCAATGAACATTAGCTGCTCATTAGATGCTAAATCGGCCCTTTGTGTTACACAGGCTGTTACTTTGTTCTCGTGTTTAAATAGTTCCGCTACATACATATAAATATGTATTTTCTGTATGTGTCTTTTACTAAAACTTGTCTTAAACTCTTTTTAAAAGTAGACAAGACACTTAAAAATAAATGGTAAAGTAGCCAGAATACAATTAGTAACTGCTGTCCCAAATGCATCCCCTGCTCCAGGAGAGCATGAGTAGAAAGTGGACACTACTGTTCTGAATGAGAGGGCTGACCTCACTTCGCAAAGGTGACGGCCTCACAGGCCAAGGCCCACACCCAGTTCTCTCAATTACTGCTGTGATGGTTTGTTCCCTAGGGAATCCGGATGGCCCGCAGCAGACCTCAGGAAACAATGACTACACCCTTGCAATTATGTAACTAACAGCAGAGCATCGTGCTTTTCACCAAAGAGGAAAAATCCTTCCTGCACTCTCCTCTCCTCTCAACCCGTACTGCTCTGCCCTTCGTCGGATCCTTCCCCGTGTATCCTGCTTCCAGCTCTGTGGGTGCCCCACTCACCACACTCTGTTATCATTTGTGTAAATTCTGTCTCTGCTCTGTGCACCCTGAGAGCATGAAGCGCGCCTTTCTTTTTCTTTTGAGTTAAATCCCCAACCCAGCATGCAGCAGAAAGCTGAACAGGAGGTCCTCCAAGAGGGTCTGAAATCAGTGAATAAAACATATTATCTACACTGCAACACCCTGCAAAGGGCCCTGGATGGGCAGACAGGACCCCTGGGCCCTGGCGTCAACGATGCTGTCTGCGGGTCCTGCAGCGACACATCAGCCCCTTAGTATCAGTTTCCTCGTCTGTAACATGGGACTTTCACGTGCTCTGCTACTGCACATGGTCTCACAAAATGAGATGAAGGAAGTAAAAAGTGTTTAGTACTATAGTAGCTTAGAGCAGCATGGTTACTTCTGATGAAACAACATTACTCGTCAAACAAACTTCCTAAACTAATAAGGAGGGACTCTCTTAGGAGAGGCTGATTTAATTAATATGTTTATTTGCTGCTTCTTAAAATAAGAATACAGCTATAAGCAGGTGATAAGACACTGATCTGCATGAAGCATGAATCCATCACAAGTACGCTTATGTTTTCAAACAACAATGGCCCAGGCTACTGGCAGCATGTCTGCGAATCTTAATTACAAGTCAGGTATAAATTGTTTAGAATCTCCTTACCAGGTTCTGGAAGATCTAATTTTGCCCGCTTTAGTTCTGCCATGGATATCTGAAGTTGCTCTATTACAAAGTCATCTTCGAAGAAAAAATCCTTCGCCAAGGTCTCCTGAAGAAACTCTACAAGTTCTTCCATAGACAGTTTCATAAGATGTTCTAAGAAAGGAAAAGAACAATAAACACCAGCTACTTCAGGCTGAGAAGATAACGTGTTCTATTCTGATGCATTTTTTTAAAGGGCACAGCACACAACATATACATGGCATTGCGAATACCACTGAAACTCAGTGAGACAAAAATGTTTTCTGATACTAGAGCAGTCACAGAGCAAAGCAGGTACTCCTGCGGGACTGGGGACAGATGAATACCGCTAAATCCCCTCTTGTTGCTTTGAGAATAACCACACTGAGGCATATTGACCCAGAGCAAGAGCTTCCTAGAGTCGGTAGACAGAGAAAGGCCACCAAGCGTGACGTGCACTTCCTGTTTTACTGGCACGGAGCTCCAACTTCACGGGCACATCCGCCTCCAGATCTGTATTTTCACTACTTCCAAATTTCCCCCAAATCTGGATTATTAATTATCTGTATTTCTACTTATGAAATTAGTTTCACTGAAAAAATTCAAGTTACAGATACAGAGCAGAAAGTAAAAATTAGCTCAGATCCATTAGTCACTGCCCTAGAAGCATGTGTGTGTCCATGTGTATCAATTGACAAAAATAAATGACACTTTCCACGTTACTTACCTTCTTGCTTTTCCCCCAACTCAGTATCGTGCATCACTGATACCTCTTACCTCAACAGATGTGATCTTACACCTTATTATTAACAACTGTAAGTCACCAACAACTACGTTAGAGTTCGTTGCATGTATGCTCTATACTTAATTGGTCTTCTAGTATCAGACATTTAGGTCATTTCTAATTTTTTTTATTATTTAAAAATCACTGTAACTTTTTTTTATAGTAACAATGTCTCTAAATACTAGTAAGGCAATCAGGAGAAAAACAAGAAAAAAAATCTTAGGAGTTTCTGCTGAATATTGGTCTAGACACAGTTTTTCAAGCATTATATGGTGAAAGAACTTTATTTAAGACTTTAAGCTTTGTCTTCCTAATGAAGAAAAAATACACAACAGGCAGTCTTCCCACAGCTTCTTTAGTCTGATGACATGGCAGGATACAAAGTAATGGTTATGCTTCAAGTTTATTTACAAAGGGTGAAAAACTTTCCACTTATCAAAATTAGTCAAGAATCATAGATAAAACGTAATTTAAGAGGAAGAAGGCTATGGAGAATATAAAACCATGTTTCTACTTTCTCACTGTTTAGGGAACACTGAACTAATAAGTATATATCTTAATAAAACGTACACTTCTGTTCAACATCTTGGTCAGTTCATAATTCAGAAAGACAGAAAAGGAGTAAAGGGGAGGGAGGGAGAGGAGACTGACTGACTGATTCCCTGTGGTTACAATGACAGTCTTGGGAGGTAATTTGTTACCAAACTGTCTCATCTTGGTGCTGTGGTTTGCATGTTGGGGAGGGAGGGAAATGAACCACAACACTCCTGAATCCTCTTCTTTCAGAGTAAACGATACAGATGTGATTTTAAAGTTTTCATTCCTATCTAGAATGTGGATAATTCGGTGCTCTTTAAGTCCTTGCTTTGCAAGTGAGCAATCAAACAATCTTATACCAAAAGACCTCACATGTTCTTAGAACAAAGCCAAGCCCAGCAGGGAGAAACACTACAAAACACGACTGCAAGCACTCAGTCAGCCTATCATTTAGCTGAGAAACTGAACAGATGCATCAGTCAAGAACACAGGAAAGCAGATACAGGGAACGTGAAACGAGGTTCTGCCCTAGTTGGGACGTGCACGGGAGGCCCCAGAGTTTCAGGGAGTCTCCCCTCTGCACAGTTACACGGGGAGTCACCTACGTTTTAAGGTTGGATTGACACTTTGAGGGGTATTATAAGCTTCTTCATATTCATAAAGAAAAACTCTCACTTCTTGATTTTTTTTTTGAGAATTTTTTTCACATTTTTTTTAACTGAGTTATAGTCATTTTACACTTCTTGAATTTTAAAGTAAGGCATCATACGTCAAATTTACAGAGCCCTTGAAATACCGCGACTGAAGACTTTTTAAAGACCTGTGTTGCATTTGGGCAACTAGACATGAGCTGTCCTTGCCCCTAGAGGCCACAAAGCAGTCAAAGAGGGGGAGGAGTGGAGGCACCCCTCGTCTGGGCTGGGTGCTTTATTCCTGGGTGAAGGAACCAGTCATGGGAAATGCCCCTCCCCAGCACTTTTAACTAAGGGGCCCAGCTTCTTTGGTGTCCCTCTCCTCCTACAAACCTGAGGTTCAGATTGATGAAAAGAGACAAGGGGTCCCCGTGGAAACAAACAATCAATAGAATGTCATCATTAACAAAACCAAGCTTTACATTCTACTTGTGTGAAGACGAAACCAATATGGAGAAAAGAATCAAAGACCTTGGCAATGTAAAGCTTTTGGTTATGAGACAGAACCAGTGAGACTAAATCACCAACTGAAGACAATTTCTTCACTGATTTTCAAGAATTTTCTTAACTTATTACCAAAAGGAAATGAATTTGAAGTTGGGTGAGTAATGAGAAATCAGAGTTAAAACAAGGCTAGACTTTCTGTGAAATCGTTGTAATTAAATGTTTTCTTACTTCTGTGTAATTTTAAGATGGTGTAAGACATAGCTGTAAGAACTCGCTCTCCTTCAAAGATGTAGATGTCCCATATTCTGAGGTTTAGTGTAAAGGGAGTCTACAATTAAAAACAAAACAGAAATAAGATGAACAGTTTGCCCTTGTCTGGTATTTGGAATTTTACGATTGAGTTTTCTAAGTAAATACTCACCCGATCAAGGAAACACTGAAAAAACCATTTCATTGTGTAAAAACTTGTGTAGATTTCTTGGGAATCCTGAAAAACACAAAGACTTCACAGTTTCCGGACTGCAGCAAACAAAACAGGACAATATAACACACATCAGGCAGCGGAGGCACCAGTCAAAGCTTAAGGACCCTTCACTCGGAATCCTTCTCGTGCTGGAGGATTTCACTTTGTCTGCCAACTCCCACTCCCGCTCCCCCTCCCTCGAGTTTACTTTTGAGAATCACTCTGAGAATAAACCCTTCTTGTGACAGGATTGGAACACACCACTTTGGTTCTAATACATTCTACAGGGAAGAACTCTGCTTCCCTAAATTACTGCGTTTTACAGGAGATCGTGTATGTGGTTCACTGAGGATGAGTTTGTATGACCCTTAAAATACTTCTAGAGCAATTTAAAAATCCTCCCAAATCACTGAGAAAGCATATATCCTTAAAAACTGTACTGCTGGTATATAGCAGCTTCAAAAAAGTGTGATTCTATGAGTTGGTGCTGTGACAGTTCATCAGTACTAAATCTCACAAATCTCATGTCCCTCGAGCACCTGGGAATTATAACTGCTTAGTAATAAAGTGGACGACACCGTAAATCAGTAAGGGAATTGGGACCAATGGCTGCACTCAAGTCTTCCAGCTTTATTCGTGCTGAAGGTCAATATCACATCTACCTACCAAGTGCTGCTTAAGCTTGGACAAAAATTTATTCAGTATTTTTTCATGATGTTCTTGAAACCTCAAGAGTTTGGGAAAACCATGGACAAAAAAACCTGGAATACAAACATAAAGACAATACTTCATTAAACAACATCCACAAAAGCCCTATCTTAAAATGCGACGTATTTCCTTCATTTTTTAACTGTCAACAACAACAGCAAATCCAGTGGTTACCAAAATATTTTTCCCTCCCACCGAGGGAACAATTGTCTGTAAGCTTTGGTTAATGAGACTTACAGTCTAGCATGTGTTTGCTAAGGATCTCTTATAATCTGGTAAAAATATAAATGAGGACAGAACACTTCTGCATTGAAAGAAACTAAGGGAAACTAAGAAGCTAAGAAAAAACGGAAGCGGAAGCCGTTTATTAAGATTATCTGCTCTCCTGAAGTATTCGGTTGTATCATTAGCGCACACATTTTTTATAAATTATTCTAATATTGATTACTTATCATTGCCTTACCGTTAGTACATTACACAACAAACAGCTGATGATGTTTTTCAGGCTTACTCTAACACCACCACCAGCGCCGTGTTTCCAGAGTTATTACTACTTTTTAATCCTTTCTGAAAGTGGTACCTAACATCAGCTAAAGCATACCGGCACTGTACGACCGATGCTAATGTATTTGATCACTACTGATGATACGACATAAAATCTGTAAGATTTTTAGGAGGTAACTAATTGTAAATGGGAAACTAATATTAATTTTGTGTATTTAACTCATGGAACTAAACATCTATTTTTAGTCCCAAGTTTCCTTTCAGATATTGTATATAACTCTTTAAAAAGGATGTTTACACAATGAATTTATGATTTCTCCACGTTACTGTTTTCCAAGGCAGGTTCTATGTAACTTTTAAAGATGTTAATAAATGTTCTATGTCTTTAAGAGAATCCAGGAGAACACTGTGTGTTCAATGTACTCTTCCTGTAAATACAAGCTCCTGAGGCCTAAGAGCTTCTGAATGTTCTTAAGTTGTTTTATAGACTAAAGAAACTTACTTAAGTTCTTTCTTTAACTCATATCCCAGCATTATTTGATCTTGGAGTCCATTTTTCCCCCACAGCACATCTGTTTCCAAAAAGTGGAACTATGCCCCTCCAAGAACACACTGCTGGGAAACACTGCTTTATAATCTTCAGGGGAGGGCTATTTCTTAACTAAATCTCAGTTTTCTAAGGTGTGTGTAAAAATTTCCAGAGATAGAAAATTCCTCCCTTAGTTTAGATTTTTCCAGTGAAATGATTTCATTAAAAAAAAATCCATCTCTCTCTTTCTGTGCCGCTTTCATGGTCAATCTGATAGGAATGGAAGTTGGAAGAATTTCAAGAAAAAGTCTAATTTTGAAAAAAGACAATCCCTTCAGTAATAAACACCAGTTCAAGGATGCTGGGATCCCTAACGCTGCTTCACTTTTCAGTGGTCCCCCAGACTTGGTATTTTACACCTCAATGCAAAGAGCCGAGGTAACCTTTAGGTATAAAATTCCACTGGCAGACCGAGAAACAAGTATCTCTAAGTACAGACTCACCCATAATGAAGATCCAAACTGTTCTGTAAATGTAAACATTGGGATAGTAAAATTAATATTGCCTTAGAGAGAAGACTGGTGACAGGAATTGGCAGTATTCCCCACAACGTCCTACTGAAAGAGTGGCACTCCACTGCGCGTCACAACAGATCAGCAACACTCCCTCATCGTAAAGCAAATAAAGACTGACAAGGAAGCGTTAGTGTCAAGATGCCTTTTTAAATGATACTGCCTACCAGCTGGCAACTCAATACAATGTGTCTTACTACTGGGTCTATTTATGGGATGCAAAGTGTCCAGAAACAGTTACCATGCAGGTGGTATTTATTTGAAAAAACATTCACAGGGAACATGAGGGAGATGGCTAAGTGCAAATACACACACGCACACAACACCCCCACAATAACCATGTGGTAAGAAAGCGAGATTTAATAAACTATGGACTATGGAAAATCATACTTCTGAAAATGTAAAATACCACGTTAGCATGTGGCAGATTCTCTACCACATAAAGCTCCAACGTCCACAGACAGAACTTTGACGGTCCGCTCTTAGAGGGATTAGCATCAAAACTTGTTTATAATTGGGTGCTGTCACACGCAATGGCACTGGGAAAATTAATTCTGCATTGTATGGACAAATGCCACTTTTACTTCCAAGAGAAGCTGTGATCCAAACTCTCTCAAATAAAGTTTACTGCATATGCTTGCAGTTAACTTGCTGCAAATATGAGGAAAAGGTTATTAAAAATAATCTTCTAATTTGAAAACCAAAAAACTATACAGATTTTAAAATACTAAATAATACAGTGCCCAGAATGTGTTATCAGTCTCCTTTTTATGTAAAATGGAATCAATTTTTAAGGATGAAAGAACTAAAAATACATACTTGATATACAAAACTACCTAATTATTATGTATCTTTCCGTTACACACCTAAGTGTCATTTCTCAATAATTATTCGTTAACAAAGAGGTACACATCCCAATATCCAGCTGACAGTAAGCATTTCACTC